CAAAATGATTTTTCTAGACATCAAGCAAGACGTTTATAATTCACCAGAACTAGGGAACATCTACCTAAGAATCTTGTGGTAACATGAGGGTAAAACTCTGGAAGTGACAGTCACAATGTCCAAGCCCATGTGGCAAGTGTGCGCTTTGCCATCGGAACCGCAGTCACCCACACTGCCCACAGGAGTCACCCACTAGGCTTCCTGTCTGGAGTACAGGTTGCCTCCATCTCCTTCTGTCTCTGGCCCTCTGTCCATGACGCTGACTGTACCTTCTGGCTTCTCCACTCTGTCCCTGAATGGCCAGGTCTGGGTCTGGCTCGTTCCTGAGCGTGGCCTGTGTTGGGATCAGTCCTTTCTCCTCCCACTGAGCAGGATCTCAGTGTACTGCAGCCCAGGCCAGTGGGCACAGGTACACAGGACCTGTGCAAAGAATGTTGGAGAGGAAAGGACATTTCTGTGCATATAGAATGTGTCTGGAAATGGGACGCAATTAGGATGAATCTGTCACTTTCCTCCATAGAAGCATATATAGCTGGGGGGTTTTTAAGAGTCTCCATGTATCAAGTTTTATAAGTGATCTGAAGGAAGGCATACAAACGACAAGACAAACTATAGGAGGCACTAAAATGGCGAGGAATAAAGAGCAGTATGTAATCTCCCAGAGCTGAATGAATGGGCACGCCACTGCCAAGAGCTGGGGGGCAAACTGAGGCCCTTGCAGAGGCTGGGAGGCATGCGTCCCAGCAGGTGAGGCTCAGCACCCAGGAAGCCTGGTGACAGGTGGGAACCTTGGCAGAGGGTCAGAATTAGGGAGGTCAGGAAGGGGTGGTGTTAGTGGATGGAGCTGGAGTCTGATAAACATGAAGACACAGCCAGGGATGCCCTCGGCATCAGATTGTTCTGGCAGCAGGCAGAGGTGCCCAGCCCCCGAGCAGACCCTCAGCAATAGGGCCTGGTCCCAGGGGCACTGGGGAGGGTAAGGCAGGCCCTGGACATTCCTATTTTTGATCCAGGTAAGACCTGTACATGATCAAAAAATAAAACACACTCTGGGAGGTCGAGGCGGGTGGATTGCTTGAGGTCAGGAGTTTGAGACCAGCCTGAGCAAGAGCGAGACCCCATCTCTACTAAAAATAGAAAAAAATTAGCTGGGTATGGTGGCATGCACCTGTAGTCCCAGCTACTCGAGAGGCTGAGGCAGGAGGATTGCTTGAGCCCAGGAGTTTAAGGTTGGTTGTGAGCAAGGCTGACCCCATGGCACTCTAGCCCGGTCAACAGAGTAAGACTGTCTCAAAAATATATAAATAAATAAATAAATAAATAAAACAGTGCAGAGAAGTTTGAAATATGAAGCAATAGTCTTCTGCTCCACCCTTCACTACCCCAAATATCCCTCCACAGTAGCAACCACTTTTAATCATTTTTAGTATTTTGGGAGCTAACTGTGTGTCACCAAGCAATATACTGTACCTATAATTGGATCAATCAAAGTCAGACATTACCTACCTGCTCCATGCTAGGAAATAGAGTGTAGCTGACTTAGTGCTCCCCAACCTCTTCCCAATTTTTTGACAGTTACATTTTTATTTTTAGTTATTTTGATGATTACCTTGATAACTTTAAAGAATGTACTTAAATATCTGTTATTTTATCAACTCTACACTACATCCCTTCACTCCTTACTGTTGGTGTGGGAAATTGAGATTCTGTGTTATGTTTTAAGATTAATGTTTTAGAGATACATCCATTTTATGTATATCTTTATTTTTATAAGGAATGCTTTAGCTCTTGTCCATATTTTAAGGGAATCTACATAATCCTTTCCTATTTGAGTTTTTAGAGCAATTTCAGGAAAGCTATAGCAAGTTGATTATTAGCAGGTGAGTGCGAAAAATCCTATGAATACTGTAGTTTACGATTTTAAGCAAACAAACAGTTTCTATCTCTGACACACACTCACCTATTAAAAATATTTTTCTCTTCAGGCTACAAATAACAGTCTTTGTAACTATGAAGATAAACTATTCCATATTATTTAGAAATTCTTTGCTCTTCTTAGCAAACACTTAGAAACACCTTTATGATGACAAGAAACATAATAAATATAGAATTAACTTAAAATTTATTAACTGGTATATAAATATTTGCTACTATTTTCCTTACCTACCTAACAAATTTAATGAGCAGCTCAAAAGGAGTTGCCTGAATCTCCTTTCAAATTTTTTAAATTAAACTAATTAAAGCTTATAGGTTGTTGTAACTCCAATATTTCTCCTCTATTTCACTCAAATTTTCTACCTTTTAATTTTACTGTTCTAAATACTGGGATATTTACTTACCTTTACATTTCAGATCTATTGCATTTTTAATTTTAGTGATTAGATTTTTAATTTCCAAAAGTTCTTTCTTATTCTTGGAATTTTTTTTTTTCATTGCATCTTATTTTCTAGGTAGAATATTCTTCTTGGGTGTGTCTGGAGCTATTAATTAGTGCTTTCTTCAAAATTCTCTTCTGTATCTCAGTTTATGTTTCTTCTAGCCCAGGTTGTTCCATTTCTGTTTACTCACGTGTTTGTTTATTTGTTGCTGGTTTTTATCACACATCTGGTGAGCCTTGGTGGCTGGCGTGGGTTCCCCTGATGTAGTGTATTTCAGTCTGTTTCCCTGCTGGGACCCTTCCTTGATGGGAAGCGTGGTGAGTGCAGCTGATTCTCGAACAGGCTTCATTTGGGGTGCAGACATCACACTAACAGCCCTGGGCTCCCCAGGCAGGGTGTTCAGATCCCCTAGAGAAGCATCCCAAAGCTTTCTTTCCTTCTCTTCCACTCCATATCATTTTCTCCATTTTCTATATTCCAGACATTTATGGAAACCTTTCCTCTACTCAGAGCTCCCTCTCCAATTTTCTTTGCATATAGTCATTTATTCGTTTTCCCCCTTTACTACCCTTTTAACACGATCTTGGGGAGAAAGGGAATGAGAGGAAAGAAAATTGCCTAACATGCCATTTTAAACAAAAAACTGTTTAAAAATTAGTTTTCCCACGTTTCAAAATGATCATTGTACAAATTGAGAAAATATAAATAATCAAATAAAAAACAATCTGTTCTTCTATCACCCAGAAATAACACTGTTACTGTTTTAAAACATGTTCTAGTTCCTTTTTCTATGCATCTATCTTTTTTTTAACAATGGGATCATACCATCTGTCCTGTTTTCTAATATGTCTCTTAAAACTAAACAATAGCTTTTAAATGTCTTTCTATGTCACAACATATCCCTGACAATATTCTGAGACTTTGTATGTATTGAAAGATATATCATCACTTATTTAGCCAATCCCTTATTTTTAGACATTAGGGTGTTTATAATTTTTACTACTATGCACAAGCATTTATAAAGATTTTGGGGCCGGGCCACGCCTGTAATCCTAGCACTCTGGGAGGCCAAGGCGGGCGGATTGCTCGAGGTCAGGAGTTCAGAATTGCTTAGGAGCCTGAGTAAGAGTGAGACCATGTCTCTACTATAAATAGAAAGAAATTAATTGGCAAACTAATATATATAGAAAAAATTAGCCGGGCATGGTGGCACATGCCTGTAGCCCCAGCTACTTGAGAGGCTGAGGCAGGAGGATTGCTTAAGCCCAGGAGTTTGAGGTTGCTGTGAGCGAGGCTGACGCCACGGCACTCACTCTAGTGTGGGCAACAAAGTGAGACTCTGTCTCAAAAAAAAAAAATTGGGGCTAAATCTTCACTTGTATCCTTGGGTAAAATCCTTGTATTTACTTTGGGTAAAATTCTAATAGTGGAATTGCTGGGTTAAAGTATCTGCAGGCCCCATTCTTGGTCCAACAGTCAGAGTTCTCTTTGAGATAGTCCACGGTAACTTCCTGGCCCCAAACTTTCACTTCACTCCACTTCACTTGGATTCCCCGAAGCATTACAGGCATTAAAAGCATAATTTTCAGAGTCATAACAACCAGGGTTGAATCCTAGCTTTGCCACTTATTGTGTGACCTTAGGCTGTTTTAATTAACCTCTTTGAGCACTTTTCTATAAAATGGGGAAATAATTCTACTTTTCTGATATGGTGGTTGTGAGAATTAAACAAGATTAAAAAATGCATGTAAAGCTCTTAACACAGACACTGATAGGTTGAAAATGTTCCTCAATGATGGTGTTATAGACCCATTCCTGTCCCTCAGCCCATTCAAGTCCCTCTTTTCAAGGCTGTATTCTAGAGGCACCCCCTTTGTGAAGCCAGATCAGTCCATCCCTTGAGTTGTTAGATCCTCAGTGTGGGCAGGACCCTCGTTTGATGTCCAGAACACATTATCTTGCTACCTTCATTCATTCGTATGTACGGGAAGAGGCAATATTTTTCTCCTCAGCATCCAGCACTGGTTGGTTCCTCATTATCATGGATTGATTTATTTTCATTAATGTTCTTGAGGAATAGAGGTGAGGATGAAAAGTAGCTTGTGACTCAATGTTGGTAGCATCAGGATTGTTTTTTGGAGTTTGATGAGAGCCTTTTGGCAGCTCAGGAGCCTTGAGGTTGGCACCTGACCCAAAGGACACTGGAAGCCCAGGTGGACTCAGTAGGCAGCAGTGGCAAGGCAATCTGCGGAGCCCCTCCAGGGTATGGCCCAGCTGGGAAGGCAGGGCCCAGCGTGCAGCGTCAGGACCTTGGTGTGGCTTGCAAGATGCCATCCTCATCTCGGTTACTTTGCACCGGGCTGTAAGATGCTTCAGGAACTGGAAGGGGTTTCTTCCTGAGCATCACCCGACCCACAAAGCTCCCTTTCAGGGCCACAGGGATGCCTCCCCAGTTGCCAGGGGAGACTGAAAAGCAGCTTGTTAGCAGAGCTGCAGATGGGAGGGCTTGATGTAGAATGGCTTCCAGGAGAGGGCCCAAGCAGGGGAAGGGGCAGCCCTGGGGGATGTGATCTGTGCGGTAAGTACACTGTGTCACCCCAAACCCTGTCTGGTGTCTTTCAGGAGTCATGGCTGGCTTCAACATCGGGGGCGACCTCAGGGAGCCCGCCGCCAGCATCCCCCTGGGCTCCCTAGCAGCTGTTGGCATCTCGTAAGTTCCCTCGTGGCAATCAGCCTGAGCCGGAGAGTGGGAGAGAAAAAACGCAGGCAGGAGGGGATTGCCTCTTTTGTTCTAAGAGTGCCCCGACTGTGACCGACCTATTTCATATTCTGATTCTCCCTTTAACACTCGGTGGGCTGGAAAATCCACGTCTGGTGGGTTTAGACATTGCCCTTTCATAGCCCGGCCTGGGAATGCTGCCCGGGAGGAGTGTCATTGTCGCAGATCACAGATCGAACCCTTTCTTCCCTTCTTCTTCAGCCTCTCGCCCCTTTCCTCCTCCGCCCCCATCTTGAACTTGGGGTTTTTTTTAACCATTGAGTTTCCAGGATCACTGGAGGGAGCATAAAGGTGAAGAGTTTTGCAGTCGGAGGGAGGAAGGTTTGCATCCCAGCTTTGCTGCCAAGTGGCTGTGTCACTTTGGACAATTTATTCAACTCTGTGAGCCTCTGTTTCCTGTCCTGTAACGTGGGGATAATGGCAGTATGTGTGCTTCCTAGATGGGGGAGGAGGTGCTGTGTGTTGTGGCACACAGTGAAGCTCAGAGACCAGCTCTCCTTCCCCACTAGCCTTCCCCACGGCCATCCGCCAGCTGGGTTTTGGTTGACACTGTCCTGCCCACGCTGGCAGGTTAGGCAGCCGCGGGTCCACCTCTGACCTTTTAGGATCTTCTGTTTTTCTCTTGTTACTGTGGGAAGAAGTCTGTCTGCCCTTTATTGGGTTGGTGTGAAGAGGCAATGAGATCATAGGCATGACAATGACTTGAACAGTTAAGAGTGCCTGTATTATTCTGTGATATTTAAAAACTACTAATGTATCTGATTCACAAACACTGAATTTGCTCTTATCTTAATGCAATGGCACCGTTGCTACCAGACAGACAAGTGGCACCAGGGTATTTTGTGCAAAATAAGGCGATAGCTTTGGGAAGAAAATGAAGACAACAGAGATAGAGTTGCATGTTGGGAAGGAAAGAAAAGAGGGTTCTGTATGAGAACCCCATCTTGTTTCTGGCCACAGCTGGCAGCTCCTTGGAGGAACCTCTGGCCCATCTGCTCATGCCCAGGTGGGAATGAGGAGATGGCAGGGATCTTGTGACTTGGTCAGGGTTGCAGGGATCTTGGGCCTTGGCTCTCTCTCTATTACCTGTGATCCAAAGACGAGCAGGAGCAGGAGGCCTTGGCTCTCTCTCTATTACCTGTGATCCAAAGACGAGCAGGAGCAGGAGGCCTTGGCTCTCTCTCTATTACCTGTGATCCAAAGACGAGCAGGAGCAGGAGGCCTGGGGCCCGCCGGCTCGTCCTTGTGTGGGAGAGGACAGGCGAGGGGCTGCCCAGCCACCCTGGCCGCATCCTGGCTGCCTGGCGCAGCTGGGCCTCCCACTTCCTCAGGCCCAACACCCTTTGTGTGTTTTTTTCTTTAATATACGAAAGAGACAAAACAATACTTTTTTTTTTTTTTTAAGAAATATGCTAGCGGAGAAATAGCACAAAAAAGCTGGCTCCCACGCCAGCTGTAGGGAGGCTTCAAGATTGGCCTTTCTCTTTAGTTTTGAGGCGGTTCCCAGAGGGAACCCAAGGGGGAGAGGGCGGGGCTGGGACGGGCTTGGGGGAGGCGGGGTGGGGGCAGCTCCGCCCTGCTCTTGGGTTTTGCAGGTGGTTTTTGTACATTGTCTTCGTCTTCCTGCTTGGCGCCATCTGCACCCGCGAGGCCCTTCGTTACGACTTCCTGATAGCCGAAAAGGTAAGCGAGTCCTGCACCATCCAAAGGACTCAGTCTGCCGGGGTCATTGATTTATGCCCATCTGCAAATGGCCGCCTTCCCCTCGCAGTCCTGTCTGGAACCCATACAGTTTTGAGTCCCAGACTGAGTGGCAGGGGTGCGGGTGGGGGGCCTAAGATCGAAAGGTCAGCTTAGGGATCCCTAGAAACCTGTGACAATACCCAGAGAGACACGTCAATGCAGGTGGCATCTCTTCATGTCAGAAATCAGGACAGAAACAGAAGAATCTGGTCACCCCAGATTCCCAGCTAAACAAGCCTTCGTTTTTTGCCAATGGCTTCACCTTCCCCCACAAGCAGGCTGTGCTGCTCAGAAGCAACGAGAAGAAGGAGGCAGCTGGCCGACATAGAAGTGGGCAGGCAGGCCCAGGGAGAGGGAGGCGGGGCAGGTGGCCCGCCTTGTCCCTGGGGACCTGACCCCTCTGGCTTTCCTGAGAATCTCAGCAACTCCAAGTTGATTTGGCTACAGCATCTTTGTTTCTAGAGTCCGCACCCTGCCAGGAGATTAGTGAATTCCTTGCGTTCCGCAGCCTCTGTCAGCAGACTGGAGGTCCCGTGACATCAAGGACATTTATTTGGCATCAGTAGAACCCACATGAATAAGATTTCCAGATTTTTTTTTCTGGAAATTCCCCAAAACCCCTACCTTCCCTTAAGTTACTGGGGAAAAGGTGGACCCTGAGATTCTCATCATTTTCCAGAGATATGTAGTTGCTTAGGGAGTTTTTCTTACTGCACCCTCCTGAGTATTGCTGTTTACGTTTTAGGAGTTGGTTCCGTTTTCTCTTGCTGGGAAGCTTTGTGATCTTCATAGAGGGTCAGTGCCTAGGGCAACCCAGTGTAGGAAACTCTGAATTGAATTTTGAGAGATACATTTGGGCTGGGTTTTCACATTAGCACGGGTTTCTTTTTAAGGCATGAAGACATTCATGCAAAGGCGATATGTGTTTTCAGGGGTCTTAACCTTGGTGTGAAAGCCAGTTTGAAAAGGGGGTGTAGTTCTGGTAGTGACAGAGCTGATACTCACCTTCCAGCACCCAAGATCTCAGACCCCCAAGAGCAAGGTTTGCTCTCAGGGAAGGAATCTATGTCCCTTAATTTATATCTACACACATGCTTCTGTCTGGACTTTCATCTCCCAAGGGCCTTTTCTCTAGGTGTGGGATGAAAGGCTTGGCTGCATTAAAGGAGTGGAGGGCCTCAGGGAGCCGTGGGGACTGCTTGCTGCTAGTCTGCAACTTGCCCCTGGCCGCCAGCTCTGCCTGCTTCTGAAGCTGGTTCCTGTCTGCCGGTTTCCTTCACAGATCTTTTCAACCTTTAGAGACTCTGATCTCCATGGATTGGGGCAAATCATCCCGGGGCTGGGGCACCTCTCTCCTCTCCTTCCCCTGCTTTACAGGGAAAAGGTGTGGGGTGGGGGGCAGGGGGAAGCAGCTCCTGTTCAAGGAAGGCCACAATGATACGGGAAAAACATCCCCAGAGACAGCACAGTAGAGCCTTTGTGGGTGGAAATTCCACACCTAAAATAGACACATGAACAGAGGGGATACTTCTTTGGAATGCTACCTGTCCCAGACAGTGACACAGGTAGGCAAGCACTTAGCCAACTGGGGGCACCTGCTACACCAGGCCCCGCAGTAGTATGTGGGAGTGTGATTGTCCACACACTGGGGTGAAAGCTGGAAATTTAGTTTTTGGAGAGGACAAGAGACCGTCTCCTGGAGTAGGCAATTGTTAGGGCTATAAAGAAGGAAAAGCTGCTGCTCTTGGTTCTCAGTGACCAACAAGCTGGGGAGTAAGTAGATGAACCAAGCACAACAGCTTTAAAATAGCAGCACCTTAGTGTTCTGCTGATTCCCAAAGGGGACCACGCAGGATTTCCTCACAAAGCTTTTCTGCCTTGCTGCTCTCTGGTGTCCCTCCCTGGGACTGACTCCCTGCAGTCGCAAGCACCATGCTGGGACGGTGAGCTGGGCCACAGATGTTTCTACTGCAGCACCTGGAGCATGGGAGGTGGGGACGTGCAAGTGCAGAGTCTCTGTACCTGGTCGCTGGCGCAACATCCCACGCTGACGTGCTTTAATAATGCGTTTGTCTCAGCTTTGTGTCTTAGCGATGGCCTCAGTTCTTCTTCGTGTCTTAGCAATGGCTTCATGTCTTAGCAATGGCCAGCCCGTCTCTGAGCTTTCCTGGGCCTCTGCCGTCCATCCATGTGCCCTGCGTATCGCCTCTGGACACTGCCATGGGGCCTTTCTCCGACAGACCCCCTTGCTGTCGTCACGGAAGCTCCTCGGTGGCTGCTCTCTTTTTCTCCTCTACTCTCTGCGAGGACAGCGAGCTCCTCTCTACTGATCTGCAGCTGCTCAGTGAGTCTATTTCTTTCTGGTTTCCTGCAACTTCTCTGATCTATTTCTAATTATCTGGCTCCTCAACTCACAGTTTCTCTACCAAGTGTCTTTTTACTTCTTATCCCTACCCTGGGGGAACTTTGTCCTAGCTTTCAGAAATGTCAGGCTGTCTTAAAAACCTTGTATGTTGCAATGGCTCTGAGGTCATCTATGAAAGCACAATAGCTGGCACATAGTAGGTGCTAATTAAATTTCAGCTCCCCTCCGCACTCATTACGGGCACACCCTTACAGATAGCGACATTTATTTTAGGAGCACATTTTCCCCCCACAGATCCAACATGTTTAAATGAATAGGAGAAGCCAAAATAGTCTGTCCCAATATTATTCAGTTACAGAGAAAGGAATTGTGTCAAGAGCAGTATTAGTAGGGATGAAATTAAATAGATCAAATAAGCGTTTCAAAATAAACTTGTATACTGTCCGAAAAATAGATGTTTATTGCAGATTAAAAAGACCCATTCCTTAGGAGCCCTAGGGCTTCCTAACTAGCAAAATAAGGGCAAACTAAGTAGGAAAAATGCCCCCAAAAGCATCCTTGTAAAAAGTGGGGAGTCCCACAGAGGAAACTCTAATCATCCCTGGAGTCAATAGTCATGGTTTTCTGTATTCAAGAGGGACTTTGAAAGTCCATGACACAGCTGTGCGTGGCAAGGTGGGGTTGGGACAGGGCTTGGAGCTGGCCAGGGGCTCTGCCAGCCACTTAGCACCTGCAGTCAGGCCAGCCTGGCTGTCCTCTGCTCTCCAGCATGGACACGTTGGTGCCTCTCAGGAAGGGAGCAGACTTGATCTCTTTATGGGAAATGGCTTTAAAGTGAGAGGTGAAACTTGACTGAGAGTTGAGATGTTGGTTAATGTAGGGAATGGAGAGAGGGTTAGAAAACTCGAAAACCAAGGACTGTTGAGACATTGCCTTATCAATACATCTGGGGTTGTGAGGGTTTCAGGATGTACTCCTCAGGGATATCAAGGGGCCACAGGGATTAGATGAGGCAGAACCAGTCCCTTGCCAATGATTTCAAACCAAGTCCTTTGAGCCTGAGCAGGCAGCGAATTGGTGGTGTCCCTCAGTGACTGAAACCCAAAATGGAAGCTGGAATAAGAGACTAAGAGCAGAGAGATGGAATTAATTTTCATCAGTAGTTACTTAAAAAGAAATTAAGGTAGTTCATACCCTGTATAGGATTTTGGAAAGATAGAGGGCTTTTGGTGATGGCTCAAACCAGTGTATGCCAGAAGGGCACTTAAAAAAAAAAGTGTTAACACATACCTGCTTAAGTAAATCCTCACTTCCACTTCCCCTGGCACATTTAGCAAGTTTTTAGTCCAATATGAATAGAGAAAATGCTTAAGTTCTGGGAGGGCTGGGGTAAAGCTCTATGGTTTACTGTTGTATCCATGAAGCCTTGCCCTGTGCCTAGTGCCATGCAGAAATATAACTCGTCCTCAGCCAGTGCTTCCTAAATGGATGGATGGATGACCAACAGAAAGAGAGATAGGATTTAGGCAGGAGAGGGAAGGAATGGAGTTTTATAATTTATCTAGACATGAGGACCATCATTTCATATAATAATATTTTTCAGAAAATAGACTGAATAGTTTTTTTTAAAAAAATGGTGAGTAGGCCATTCTAAACACAGTTGACAAACTGGACATAAGTGAGTTTTTATAGCTGGACAATTGCCTGCCTGACCTGCAGACCCCAGGAGGAAGCCCAGGGCGGGTCTGTGGGAAGCCTGGCCAAAGACAGGGGCCACCGTGTCACGTACTCATGGTGCCAGAGACTCACCAAGTTCCCGAGGTCAATCCAACACCACCAGAAGGACACCAGCCTGGGCAGTCTCATTCCCACTCTGAGAAAATGGGCAGGCTTTAAGTGAAAAAAAAAATTTTTTTTTTGAACACAAACATATATAACCTTTTGAGTAAGAAGCAGTAAGCTTTCTCCAAGGAGATACTATGCCTGACTCTCCCAAAGGACTTTTTGAGGGAAAATGCAGTGAGTACAAAGCATTATGCCCTGTGGTCCTCCCCACTGGTTGCATATTAGAATCACCTGGAAAAATCTACCACATGTCTGCCCCACTCCATACTCATTAAACCAGAATCTCTGGGGTGGTTCTTATGTGTAGCCAGAATGAAGAACTACTGAGATAAATTTTCAAAAAGCTTTTGATAAAATTTCATCATAGAGTTTTATTTTTTAAACCAGTCATCATGGGAGGCATTTGGTAGAGAAGAAAGGAGCAAAGGTATTGGATGAATGATCGCATCTCAGAATGGGTCGAGGATTAATGATGAGACCAGTTTATCCAATAATTTGTAAGGCATCTAGGCCACACATCACAGTGAAGTCTCGAAGCTTCATTAATTCAGCTGCTGAACACTGTTCGCCAGACTGCGTCAGGTATATGGGGAGGGGGCCAGGGAGGCATGTTACAGACCTACCCTTAAGGAGTTCTTGGTGTGCTGGCAAGATCAGCCATGGGCATAATTATCCTGCAGGATAGAAAACAACAAAATGCCATCGGAACACACAAGGTGATGGGAAACGCTAGATGACATTAATTTCTTGTAGAAATAAAATGTTAAGTGAAGGGTGGGAGGCAGGACAAACCCAAGAAATCTGCGACATGGAAAAAAAGAGGTGAGAGTCGCTGGGGACAAGGGTGAGAGAATGCACTTAGGGAAAGCAATCTACACGGAATGGAAGACAAGATGGGCTCTGTGGTGGACCCTCGTGTTGTCCATCAAGCCTCTGACCTCCCTGCCCATTTGGGGGCTATTCCACCATAAGCATGGTCCTTCAGGGAGTGAGTGCCCCCATTTTGTGTTACAGAAGCCCAATGGATCAGACCTCTCTTGCCTGTCCCTTTGCAGCCCTGGTAGGGCACATGGCCTAGGTTAGGCCATTGCTGCTCAAATTATAATGAATAAGGCAAAGATAAGAAGATGGTGAGAGTTCGTCCCCAAGGCAGCAGTGGCTCTGGTGGCACCTGGCCAAGCTGTTCCTGTGGAGGAGTCTGGGTGTGCCTCCAGGCTTGGGTCCTGCTCTTTTCCAAACATGATCTTTTAGCCTCCTGATGCTTCTTGAACCTCCAGTGTCTCACAGATACATTCTTTAACAAAAAAAGATTTTTCCAGTCCAGATCCCTGACTGATGCAGAAGTCATCAGTCAAATTATTCCAGTGATATTCTGGCTCCTTATGAGGCAGGAGAGAGACGTAGCCAGTGGCTTGTGTTCAATGCAGCTGGATGACACAGATCCAGTGCATTGCCGAAGCATGGAAGTAAAAAATGGGGCAAGGCATCTAGAAGGGTGTAAGCAATAAAGTTGGAAATTAAATCTAACCTATCTGGATTCATTGGACAAATGAGCACCTGGAACGCACAGCTCTGGCCACGATGCCTAAGGTAAACCAGAAGGGAAAGGGCACCTCAGATAGTCAAGAAAGCAGAGGGGCTCCCCTGTGGGTGTCAATGAGGTCCGGCTCAGGGCTGTGAGGCAGACTCATGACTGACAGCTGGGGACATAGCTGCCAGCTGTGATCGGCATCTTCTGCCAGCTGACACCAAGGAGCCCAGCTATCCGCTCTCTCATTCTGTCTGCTGGTGCCTGTGGGCCATGTGGGTCTTGGGTCTCATTCATTCCTTTAGCATTTGTCTTTCTATGTTGGACACCAAGAATTCCAGCGTGAACAAGACAGAGGCCTACCTAAGTGAAGCCTCTAGATGAGTAAAGGAGACAGAATGAGAGGTGCCATCCTAATGTCACGTCGAGGTGTGCCCATGGTGGTCACCGTGATAGGAGGATGGGAGGTTTGTGCTGAGTCCTCAAGCACAACTAGGAGTTTAACAGACATGATGAGTAGACTAGGGGGTGTGGACAGAGGGTTCCAGCAGGCAGAGAAGTCATGCTGATGAAAGACTCGCAGGGTGCAAGGTGCGGGGCTAAAGAAGTCCCAGGCTAGGAAGGGCTTCGCATGTCAGGGCATTGGGGAGCTTTTGATATGTTTGCAACGGGGTGTTATGATCGGATTTGAGTTTAGAGAGGTCACTCTGGCAGAGGTTGTGGGGGTAATTCAGAGCGGGGAGAGCTTAGAGGCTAAAAGTCAAATAGCGTTGTAGCTGGCCAGTGGTTCTCAAAGTGTGGTCCCCCAGACCATCAGCATCCAACACCTGGGAACCTGCTAGAAATCCAAATTCTCGGCCCCTACTCCACACTACTGAATCAGAAACTTGGAGGATGGGCCCAGAAATTTATGTTGTAACAAGCCCTGCAGGTGAGTCTGGTGCATGCTCCATTTGAAGACCTCTGTGTAGCCCATACAAGATGTGACGGTGGAGTCAACTGAAATAATGGTCTGAGTGGGGTGGGGCTGGGGGTGGGGGAACTACGTCCCAGAGACTGACTCTAGAGAGCTTGGCGCATGGTTAGCCGCTGTGCTGGGGCTGTAGAGAGGAGCGGGAGCAGGTCCTGGGCTTGAATAACAAAGGTGCTCTCTCATGTAGGTGTCCCTGGTGGGCTTCCTGTTCCTTCTGGGCTTGTACATCTCATCCCTGGCCTCCTGCATGGGAGGACTCTACGGAGCCCCCCGGATCCTGCAGTGCATCGCTCAGGAGAAAGTGATCCCTGCACTTGCCTGTCTGGGGCAAGGGGTAAGTGACCCCCCACCCCTGCCCTACGTATTTGTTTATTTATTTATTTATTTGAGAAACACCTTTTGCCACTAACCCAATTGTTGGCCCATAAATTGCTTAAATCTTTTTTGTTTTTTTTTTCTGATTAGAGCCTCTTGTCAAGTTCTCTGGGTTGGAACCAACAAGAATGCAGAGGTCATTTCTTTCAGCCCTGTCCTCTTGTTGGCTTAGACCGGGGCCAACTAGAAGAAGCATTGTCAATGTCATGGCCACCCAGCCCTTGGCACTGGGTTAGCCAACCAGCCATGGTAACATCTTGGACCCTGAGCAGCAAGGAAATGGAGAGCCCCAACCTTTAATAGAAATGAATTTAGGATCCTCCAGGTTTGGCATAGAAGAAAGATTATCTTGGTTAAGAGGGGAGCTGGTCCTTGCAGCTCTAACTCTGTCCTTGAGGCTCCTCTCCCTTTGGAGGGTGCTGTTTGATGATTTCCCACCCCTCTGGCCTCTGGGCTCCTAGTTAACCATGATGAACCAGTCCTTAACTGATACAGCATAGCTTGCTTGAGTCATGGCTGGAATGATCAAAAGAGATATTCCTAAAACCTAGGGGATGACAAAAGAGAAATGAACAGAGAGAACCCCACTTCCCAGTAATGTGGTCTGCAAGCCATGGTTCCTTTTGTCCTACTGGGGTACCACTGGGGCCCTCCCCGACCCCTTTCTGGTTTCCAGCCTCCCTATTGTCTAGGGCACATGTAGTTGCAAATCACGCTTAATTTCTCCCCTTGCCTTCCTCCCCTTCTTATCCTCAGCACGGGCTAGGAGGAGCAGGGACCATCATCTCTGCACCTTCCCTGTGCGGTATGCCTTTTGTTTTATTTTTCTTCTATTCTTTTATTTTTTTATCAGGTAACATGTGCATGGGGTTCAAAGCTAAAAATAATATAAATGTTTGCTCCTGAGTCTTTCTACATTTTTCCACCCCAACCCTACCCTTTCAGTAGCAGTTTTTATTAGTTTTTTAAATGAATTGTTCTCTTTCCCATTTTTATGCAAAAGATAGTGCTCAATATGCATGTTCTATACTTTACTTATTTTCATTTTGTATAGCCTAGAAACCTCTTTTCATTTGAACACAGAGAGAACTTTCTCATTCTTTTTCTGTTGTGTGGATATACCATAATTTATTTAATCAGTTCCCTAGACATCAACACTTGTGTGGCTTCTAGCAAACAATGCTGCAGTGAATAATCTTGTGTGTGTGTGTGTATAAAATTTTGTATATGTGCAGTTAGATATATCTGCTGGATACATTTTCATAAGTGGGATTACTAAATGAAAGGAAACTGTATTTTTAATTTTAATGGATATCGCCAAAACAGCTCCGTGAGATTTGCATCATTTGTACTCCTACCTGCAATGAATGAGCATGCCTGTCTTCCCACATCCATGCCACTCTTAGACTTGAGCCCAAAGATTCTGCTTTGCAAGACTGCCCTGGCCTTCGGGTATATGCAGTTTGTGAGGCCAAGGGGACATGCCCACCAGTATCCCATGCCCTCTCCTCCTAGACCACATCCCAGGTGTGCTGTGTCCTGGAATTCCTTGCCCAGAGGCCCCCAGCCCACTTCCAGGGTCTGCAAGGGCCTCTTCCTTTCCAGGCAGGCTGTAGGGTGAGGGATCAGGTGGAGTGAGAGGCGCCCCATGGCATGGTCTGGGAAGAGAAGGGAGTTGGGCTGTGAGCGGGTGGCTGCACGTGGCCGTCTTTCAGTGAGAAGTCTGAGGAGTACAAGAATTCTAACCTTGAACCTGGGCTTCCTTGTCATCATGAAGGGATATTTGCCAAGGAAGGAGGCTAGAACGCATTTGATTTGACAGGTTGTTAGCTTGTTTATAACCCATTCGCACTCTTACCCAGCGTTGGCAAGGAACCTGTCAAATGTGAATTGTTGCCCAGTGACTATAATCAGCAAGTTATGGTATATTTTAAAATAACTAAAAAAGTAGAATTGGAATGTTCCTAACACAAAGAAATGATCAATGCTTGAGGTGATGGATTCCTGATTTGACTATTACACATTATATGCCTGTATCAAAACATCACGTGTACTCCAAAATATATACAATTATTATGTACCTATAATAATTAAAAATTTAAAAAATGTGAATTGTTGCTAGTATATAATGGGAAATGGCATCTTAGGATACATGTGATTTGTATTACTCTTAGCCACAAATTAAGTTGAACATCTTTTCTTCTATTTAAGAGCTGTTTTTAGTTTTTTTATGTGATTATGAGTTATTTTCTTCTCAATTGCTAGGTGCCCTCTTTTTGTTAGGAAAACTAACTGTGTATATGTATTACAAATATTTTTCCTAGTTTGTCATCTGTCTTTTATTTAACTTTGGGAACTTTTTTCCAAAGGTTCTTTACATAAGATTAAATTTTCTCAGTTCATTTTCCTTTTTAATGGGGGAAGAGAAGAAACTTTAAAAAAATTTTTGGAGATATATTCAATATACAGAAAAAGACATAAAACAAACATGAACAGTTTAAAGGAAAACTGTAAGTGAACACCCTGGTGACCCAGGGACACTGCCGGCCCCTGAAGCACCCTCCACACGCCCCTCCCTGCTCAGAGAGCCCTTCCCCAGAAGTCCCTAGCCTGATCTCTGCGATTGTGATTTCCTTGCTTTATTTATGGTTTTACTCAAGGGTCTGCAAACTTTTTCTGAAAAGCATCAAATAGTGAGTATTTTAGGCATTCCAGGCCATCTGTTCCCTATCACAGCTACTCGGCTCTGCTGTTGCAGCTCAAAAGTCGCCACAGACAACACCTAATACTTTATTTTTGGACACAAATTAGAATTTCATGTAAATTTCATGTGTCCCAAGATTCTTCTTTTGCTTTCTTCACCCAACTGTTTAAAAATGTAAAAACCATTCTTAGCCCAGGCCGGATTTGACCCGGGGCCATAGTTTGCAACCCCTGGCTTACTTCCTGCTTATGTATCTCTACACAAAATAGTTTAATTTTGCCTGTATTTGAATCTTAAATAAATGAAGTTATATGTATATTTTTTTGTGGCATGCTTTTTTCACCCAACATTGTGTGTATGAGATTTATGCCTGTTTTTGCTTGTGGCAGCGGCTTGTTTATTACTTGGGACTATTGTGGGTAGCATGATGGACACTGTAGTACTAGCGTCCTGGCACACGTGTGGCGTCCCTCCAGACTGCACGCCCATTGCAGGGACTGCTAAATTGTAAGGATAGTATCTTCGCCTACTGCAAACATCAAAGTCTTTTCCAAAGTGGTTATGCTAATTTATGCTGCTATCAGCAGTGGGTAAGAGTTCCTGTTCCTCTATGTTTTTTGCCAATACTTGATATTATCAGATTTTTAGATTTTTGCGAGTCTAATGGTATCTCACTGCAGTTTTAGGTTACATTTCTCTATCCATACTTTCTCTACAATTTTTCTGTAAACCTAAAACTGCTCTAAAAAAATAAAGTCTATTTTTTAAAAACTCAAAAAAAATTACATTTCTCTAATTACTATTGAGATTGGGCATCTTTTCATGTGTTTAACAGACATTCTTTGGTAAAGTACTTGTTAAATCTTTTACTCATTTTTGTAAATGGCTTGTATTTTTCCGATTATTTTGTGGGAATTCTTTGTATATTCTGGAAACTCTTTGTCAGTTATCTGTGTTGCAATCACAAACCATTCCGTGGTCTGGCTTTGCTTTGCTTTGCTTTCTTTTTTTTTTTTTTTTGGTGTCTCTTGGTGAAGAGAAGTTCGCATTTGCCTGTTTTAGCACTTCACAGCCCACCCTTATCAATATCTTGGCCTGGACCCTATGAGTGTCCAGTGTCTTCAGCTGACCTGAGACCCTTCTTTTGAAGTTTTCTTTAGTTTCTGAGATTTACCTTATTCGTGATAGTTTTGTTGTTAGAGTAATTTTACTCTTTGTTTTAAGATTTTTACTCTGAAGTTCTGGGGAAGGTATTTCAGGTCATTAGGGGCTCTGAACCTCAAAGACTCAGGCTGATGATGAGTTTGCCATCTTCGACCTGTGGCTTCCGTGGCTGCTGCTCCCCCGGCCCTCAATGTGGGGACCGCACCTGGGGGAACACGTGGGGCGTGTGGGGGCCAGACCAGGCAGTGGCTCATGTGCTGCCCTTACACTGCGGACGGCTAGCAGCGCAGGAGGTGAGGGCGGCGGTTGGCTTCCGCCTCTATCCTGGGGTGAAGCTGGCAGTGTTTGCTGATGGAGGGAGAGAATGAGAAGAGGCGTCAAGACTTCCCTGCTTGGCTGACCAGCTGGAAGGATGGCACTGCCATTTTCTGAGATGGAGTAGTCATGAATACTAATACAACTAATACCTGTGGTACTTTAGGAGCCTACTGTATATTGGTACTGTGTTAAGCATTTTACATGCATTAGCATGATCTTGCAATAATCCCATGAGCTGGATATTATTAACTCAAGTTTATAGGTGAACAGATACATGGGGAGAAGCGTCTGAGCCATTATGAGTTGTGTTTCTAATATAACTTCTGAAATTTCTGAAACTTTCTATCTGAAATTTCATAGTCCTGCATTTTTGTTTCTGCAGAAAGGGCCAAATAAAACACCTGTAGCCGCCATCTGCTTGACCAGCTTGGTGACCATGGCCTTTGTCCTTGTGGGTCAGGTGAATGTTCTGGCCCCCATCGTCACCATCAACTTCATGCTGACGTACGTCGCGGTGGACTACTCTTACTTCTCCCTGTCCATGGGTCCCTGCAGCCTCCCCCAGGTGCCCGAGCCAGTGCTCAGGGAGGACCCAGAAGCTCTCCACTGCTCCGAGCACCTGCTCTTGGAGAAAGCTCCCAGCTATGGCTCTGAGGGCCCTGCCCAAAGCGTCTCTGAGGGCACGCTGCTAGAATTCACCAAGGACATGGACCAGCTCCTCCAGCTGACCAGGAGGCTCGAGAGTGGCCAGCCCAGGCAAGGAGAGAGTAGCAGGGTCCCAGAGAGTCAGAAGAGGAAACACAAGAAGGCCACCAAGCAAGCCCTACAAGACAGCTTCCTCTTGGACCTCAAGTCCCCTGCTTCCTTCCCCACTGAGGGCTCTGACAGGTTGCCCACTGCTTCCTGGGAGGAGCAGGAGTCCTGCTGGAACAAGCAGCCTTCCAGGACTGAAGGGACTCAACCTCAGGGCACATATGGAGAGCAAGTTGTCTCTGAGTTGTGTAACCAGACAGGGCCGAGTGGAGAAGGTGAGTGCCTTGAAATCACACTGGGGGCTCCTCTTTGGGGGTGATCCATGGTTGTCTCACCTACCCAGTTGACACAACTCAGTTGTGGCTAGGTTTAAAATCCTTATTAATTTTGTTTGATATTTATTTTAAAATATTATATTCAGGATGCAGCTGAGTTATTCATAATTCTACTCTCTTAAATGTAATTAATTTTAAACAGAAATTGGGCCGCTATGCTATGCTACCCTGGATATCTATACAGACAGATGTGGGCAAAGAAGAAGAGACAAGAGACGTAGGAGATGTCTAAAAACAAATGCTGTGTGTTTTTTCATAGATCTGTTTTTCTTTCTTTACCTCTAAATTGATGGGAGGTTTTTAATGGTAAGAGCATAATTAAAAATTTTAAAACTATTTTATTTTAATCGAAGTGATAAGTGTACAGTTTAATAAGCCAAATGGTATTAAAAGTGCCATCATCAGAAACAGTAGCTCCTATTCTTCCAGACCACCCCTTTTACCTGTCTCCATCCCCAGTCCCCACTCCCGGAAAATCCTACTTTCAACCAAAAAGTTGTTTCTTCTGTTAACCTTTCTGTTACTAAATATTTGTACTGCTACGTCTTGATATGTGAATTGTAGATATCATCTTTTGACTTCTGTTATGGTAAATGAGGATTTAACTCTTTTATGCCACTCTGACTTCTTATTCCCCTAGTGCAGTTAAACCACAGTTTCCGATTAAATTAAGAGCTAGCATTCATATTGTCATGACTAAGTAAATACTGCTTAATTCTGAGCCATATATTACACTATGATTGCATTTCATTTTTTGCCCAGCTTTTGCTGTTTCCTGGAGTTAATAATTGCCTCTATTTTTTATTTGCTTGGTTTTCTGTCATTATTTTTCTCTAAACGCTCTGGCAGATTTGTGAAATGCCTTTCAATGTTATTTTCTAAATGGTCCAAATTCTTCAGAAATCTATCATATTCATTTTCCCCCTCTGTCCTATGGCTTCCATCCTCCTATTCCATTCCAGACTGTTCTCTGGGCCTACTATGACACTGTTGTCTTAGAATCCCTCTCTACTACACTTCCATGTCACATCCAGAGAACGAGAGAGTTCTTGGATACAATATTGTAGAAGACTTTTGTCTTTTTTTTTGTTATTGTTGTTGCCTGCCGGCATTGAATGGCCTCCTTATATTAGTATTTGAAGAATTTCCAATGTTATGAATCTTGGTGAGAGGCAAGGCAAGCCTTCCACACTCAAAGCTGAAAATGCCACATACTCAGTTTTCTGGCCTCTCCTGCAGCCAGAGTTCAGGCACAATACCAGGGTGGGGAACCTGTGGCCTGCTAGATCCTTAAGTTTGATCTTTTGACTGAATCCAAATTTTACAGAGCAAATCCTTTTATTTTTATTAATACATTTTTGTTCATCTTATATATTTTTATTTTATTTTTTAAATGAATGTATTTAAAATACCAAAGGATAAAATAAGTTTCAACAAAATAATCCTCCCGGATTGACCGGCACTATTTAGCCATAGGGCTAAATTGATGGCTGCTATGCTCATGATTTAGTTTTAACATTCCCTGCCTGACTGGTGCCACTATTGCACAAGGCTGGTTGGCAAGAGTCTGTGGGGGTCGATTATGCCAGTCTGTTATCAGTTTTTGACAACAGTGCACTGTGTTTCTGTTGGAAGTGGAATTTGTGAACAGTTGCACAGCTTGACAGTATTTTTTAATTCTGTCTGCCTAAGAGCCCATCATGTCAAAGGAGTCCAAGAGAACAATGAAGGATGAAAACAGATTTTTTAATGAGGAGTAGGAATTGTAATATTATCTTGTTTCTGCTAAAGATAATATGATTTGCTTGCTTTGTGATACTGCAATATCAACATTAAAGAAATTCAATGCTCGTCAGCATTATAACACTCATCAGGACAACAAATATTTTAAATGAGAGAGAGAGGCACAAAAGTTTGTGTTGTAGAAATTAAAAGATGAAAAGTGAAAGCAAAGACAATTCTTTTAAGCAGCAGTAAGACCTGGAAATAATGCCACTGAAGCAACTTATAAAGTAGCTTATATACTCGGGGTAGAGGGAGAGGGAAGGGAAGCCATCCAGTTATGTAGAAATTGTGAAAGAATGCATTGTCGAAGTGGTAGAATGCTTAGACCCTGATAATGTTTCAAAGTACGAACGACTGCCTCTTTCAAGAAGAATCATAACTGATCCGCAGCATGAACTAGCCTTCAACTTAACAGAACAACTTCATGCAGTACTTCGCTTCAAAAGGAAACTATATACTGTTCAATCACTTTGATGAATCAACCGATACTACTGATTTGGCACAGAGTTAATACTTCATTTAGGTCACAACAGAAGATTTTCTTTGCTATGAAGAGTTATTCACTTTGGGCACTCTTGAGAATAGCACGGGAAATAGATATTTTCAATAACATTCAAGATAAATGTCATGAAGTTGGACTGAATTTGGTAAATTTAGTGAATGTATGTACAGGCAGTGCACCTTCCATGACAGGAAAACATGAAGGGTTTGTTGTACAGATAAAAAAGTATTAACAGACCCAGATTCTCTCATTTCTTTTCATTGTATCTTGCATCAGCAAAATCTCTGTGCTAAAGCTACTATTTTAAGTGACACTTTGCAACAAGTTATAAATATTGTTAACTATATTCATGCAAATGCAAGGTGGCATCATCAGTTTTGTAACACTCCAAAGTTGAAAAATGAGGTATTCAGTGTGGATTTGCCATATAATTCTAAAGTGCATTAGCTATCACACAGATAGGTGTTAGCCAAAATTTTATCTCTGTGAGAACAGATAGTTACATTTTATGAAGAACAGAATCACCAGTCAGTGTGAATTATTGAAAGAAGATTTCTATAGGAATGCAGCCTTTCTGTGTGATATAATGTCAAATCAAAACAACTTGAATATTTCTTTATAAGGTAAAACTGAGTCTATATATGATATGTGGCAAAAAATCCAAGCATTTTGAAAAAAGCTATCTTTTCTCAAAACACCTCTTTAAAAGGAAATTTCAGATGAATATTTTCCCCAGTAAGCAAAGGTCATTGATGAGCAGGACGATATATGTGAATCGTTTGAAGAATACTCAGCTGTTATAGACCTATCAATTGGAGAATACAATGAATGGTTCACTGACTTTGAGAGTCATGACATCATACTCATTAGAATTTCAGCCTCACCTAGTTGCTATCACCAAGGCACCTAAAGGCACACAGATGGAATTGATTGAGCTCTCTGTAGATGACATTTTAAAGTCATTGTTTGATGCTAAGAAAGATCCAATTGAAATATGGAAAAATGCAATAGAATACCCATGCCTTTGGCAACATGCCTGAAAAATGCTTTCTTGCTTTTCAACCATGTATTGCTACAAATCTACATTTTCCCACTTAACCCTAATCAAGATGCCCTTAAGGTCACAAATGACGGATACCCATCTAGAGGATCAACTGAAACTGTGGACCTCCAAGCTGCAACCAAATAATCAAATGCTTCCCAACAAAGAGCAGACACAGCAAGGTCATTAAAAGGTTAGTTAACATTAAACTTAACAAATAGTTTTCATTTTTTAAAATTATTAAGTACATAGTAGTTAGATTTTTACAAAATAATGTGCATTTTTAAGTATATCTAATTGAAGTTTCTTGAATGTAGCGTTAGTTGATTACAGCTAAATTAATACAGCCTTCCAGCATGAAAAGGTTCCCCACCCCTGCTCAGTGCCAAGGCTCTGCTAGTCAGATGGGCCGACCTCATATTTGGAATTGGGAACTGGAAATCTGAAGAAATTGAGGAACTTTCTGGAAGCATGATGATAGCTGCGGGATGACTGCATTGCTGGCTCCCGTGTCCAGATTCTCATGTCCTTCGGTCTTGGTATTTTTGTTATTGTTAACCTCAGCTGTGGAGGGTTGAGAAAATCATACAGCTCAGTTCATGGCATATTATCATCATTTGTTCAAAAGACACTTATGTTTATTTACCCTATTGATTTCTTAATACCCTTGGTTTCCCAAGAATGGGACTTGGAATCTTTGGGGATCTCTCTTCCCATCATCCATCATGTTGATATTGTTTATATTTTTCTTTTCTTTATTCCTAGCTTTTAAATTTTTTTTTTTTTTTTTTTTTTTTTTTGAGACAGAGTGTTGCTTTGTTGCCCAGGCTAGAGTGAGTGCTGTGGCATCAGCCTAGCTCACAGCAACCTCAAACTCCTGGGCTCAAGCAATCCTCCTGCCTCAGCCTCCCGAGTAGCTGGGACTACAGGCATGCACCACCATGCTCAGCTAATTTTTTCTCTATATATTAGTTGGCCAATTAATTTCTTTCTGTTTTTAGTAGAGACGGGTCTCGCTCTTGCTCAGGCTGGTTTCGAACTCCTGACCTTGAGCGATCCTCCTGATTTGGCCTCCCAGAGTGCTAGGATTACAGGCGTGAGCCACCGCGTGGCCTTTTAAATTTTTTAGACAATAACTTTTCCAACTTTTTCAGCTTTCTTTTGTATTTATTTACCCAAATTTGCTTTTTTTTTTTTTGGCGGAGTGGGGGTTACACAAGTAACATGCGGATCATCTACCCTGTCCCCATCCCAGGACATGGACACACACAGACACAGCCAGCTCCAGTCAGCCTCAGCCACAGCAGGCAGTTTTCATGTTTTGTTGTTGTTGTTGTTATTGTTCTTGTTATTCACAACATTTATGCTTTTTCTTTGATAATTCCCTGCCACCTCCACAGCCTCCACCCCCACTCCATTATCTCTGTTTCACTGTCTTGTGTTATATCTTCTTAAATGGTTCCCTAATTTTCTTTTCTTTTCTCTCTCCTATTGTTCATTCATTTGGTGGGTTTTTTTGTTGCTGTTATTGTTCCTTGCTGATATATTTCATGGGCTTCATCTCCCAACTCTTCTAATGATTTTTTTAAAATGTTGGTTGTGTATCAGTCG